TACCTGCTGACTCTCTTGGAGAATGCACTCATCATCTACCTCATCTGCAGCCACAGTGAACTCCACAAGCCCATGTACTTTTTCCTGGGCAACCTCAGCTGCCTGGAGATGTGCTATGTGTCGGTGACCATGCCCAGCCTGCTGGTGGGACTGTGGACTGGACCCTACCAGGTGCCCTTCACAGCCTGCATGACCCAATTGTTCTTTTTTGTCTCTCTCATCTGCACAGAGTGCACCCTCCTGGCCTCCATGGCCTATGACCGCTATGTGGCCATCTGCCGCCCTCTGCACTACCCACTGCTCATGCGGCCCCATGTCTGCCTGGGCTTATCTTTGTCCTCATGGTTTGGTGGGTTTATTGTCTCAGCAGTAAAAACAAAATGCATTGCCAGCCTGTCCTACTGTGGCCCCAATGTCCTCAACCAATTTTTCTGTGACGTCTCCCCTCTGCTCAACCTGTCCTGCACCCATGTGGCCCTCACAGAGCTGGTGGACTTCATCTCTGCCATCGTCATCTTCTGTGGAACTCTGCTAGTCTCCCTGGCCTCCTATGCAGCTATTGGGGCAACTGTGCTCCGCATGCCCTCAGCGGCTGCCCGGCGCAAGGCTTTCTCCACCTGTGCCTCCCACCTGGTGGTGGTGGGCATCTTCTACTCGGCAGCTCTCTTTATCTACTGCCGGCCCAGCCGCATCAAGTCCATGGACCTCAACAAGGTGCTGTCAGTCATCTACACGGTAGTCACACCCATGTGCAACCCTGTCATCTACTGCCTGCGTAACAAGGAGGTCCACGCAGTGCTGCGGAAGACCCTACCCTGGCTCTGATCCTCATCTTCCAAGCCTATCCTTCTCACATCCAGATTCAAATTGCAATCCGTGTGAAAAGATGTTTAACCTAACTCACAAAAGAACAAATATTTAACAATCCCATGAGCCTGGATGTGTCCACAGTACTGATAGGATAATATGTACAAGGATATTGTTGCGTATTGTTTGCAATAAAAAAATTAGGAACAACTTAAAATTGCACTGATAATGGATGGATTAAATGTTATTTGATGTACATTATGTGATAAACCTTGATCTATGTAAAAGAAATCAATGCTTATGAATTGATATGGAAATGCCAGAGTACTTCAAAAAGTTAATAGAAAATGGAATTGAAATGCTAGTTAATCTTGATACACAAACGTTGACATCTGATGTCCAAATAATGGGTACTGAATCATAGCTAGATTGAAGGAGGATGTTCCTAATGTTACACAGTATAGCGGGTGGCTATAGTTCATTATAATCTATTGTATATTTTATAAGAAAATACAAGAAAGAATCCCAAAGTTTCCAAAAATAAAGTAATATTAAAGAAGTGGAAATGCTGGTTGACCTGATTTGATCAATATACATTGTATACATGTATTGAAAATGTTGCTCCCTGGCCCATAAATGTGAACAATTATTATTAATTAAGGAAGAAAAATATTGAGGTCCATGAGTAGTTTTCCCATAGGATTTCCCATGAAATGGGAAACTTATAAAACAGAATGCAGAACTGTCATATTTTTATATGACTTGTTTCTTCACTTGTTTTCTCGGGAAATTAGTATATTTTGGGAGACTTGGATCAAGTGCCCTTTTGTTTTGTGTCAATTTTATATTATGTGAGTAATTAAATTTGATTGAGGTAAAGCATAAAATTTACCTAAAATCATAATCATTTTCATGTGCATAGCTACTACTTACACTGCTGTGCAATCATCACAATTCTTTTCCAAAATCCCTTTCACCTGGCACAAGTGAAACTCTGGCCATTAGACAGCAAGTCTCCGTAGCCGGCTCCCCCACCCCCACCCCGTCCGCTGGCTTCCTAGTTCTATCATTTGAGAATTCTAGCTGCGTCCTATGAGTGGGATGATTGTTTTTCTCTTTCTGTGATGACTTGTTTTACTCATTATAATATCTTCATGATTCATCCATTTCATAGCGTGTGTGAGAGCTTCCTTCCTTTTTAAGGGTGAATAACATTGTATGTTTCTGTGTATGCCGCATTCGACTCATCAGCTGTTATCTACCTGGATAGCTTCCACACTGTGATGTATGTTGCTATGAACATGGTGTACAAACATCTGCTGTGTCTCTGATTTCAATGAGCAGCATTTTCTGAGCACCAAGTCTGTTCTAAAAGCTCTCTGTTGTGGACCTCAGCTCCACTGGTGCTTCTCCAAACAAATTATAAACCTAGATTCCATGCTGGTGTGCTAAAGCACACACAGAATTGATAAACTGATTTTGCTTATCCTGATACCCAATCCGAGCACCTTGTGTTTGGAAAGACACTCTCAGTGCGTGGGGACTTGCACTTCAATTTGCTTGGAGGCCAACTTGCCTCTGTCCTTCTCCCATCAGCCTCCTTAGAGCCCCAGTTTAATAAAAACTTTCTTCTCCTTCACTTGCTCTAATCCACAGAGATCAGAGAGGTCTCTCAGGGCCAGAGCTCCTGTTTAACTTACCCTTCTGCCTCCTTCTCAAGTGTGGCTAGTCACTTCAGTAGCACCTGGAATGCAGAACCACAAAGAGAATCAAGGGGCTGGGGAGAGTGTGGTACCTATCCCAGGACCAAGGAGAGTTTCCTCTGAGGCACACTGAAAGCCTATAGTTCTATTCCTTGGATCTCCTTTGGGCAGAAGCTGAATCCGCCTGATCTTGAGTCTCCTCCAGGTGCAGCATCAGACGGAAAGGACCTGTGCCCACCGTCTCTCCACCATTAGGTGAGGAGACCAAACGTGATTCTTGGGAGGTGAAGACAAAGCAACAGAAAGAACATTTCTTTTGTAGAAAACTCAGGGATACCAGGTACAGACTCTAAATACTTTAGAGATACTGATTGATTTAACTCCCAGGAGTGGTAGATAGATACAGGTGTATATGGCATATGTAGGTCAAGTGGCTTCCTAAAGACCCTAACATTAGAAAGGGAGGGATAGCCTCGTAATCTGACTTGAAACCCTTTTAACCACAAGTGTTGCCATCCAAAGAGATCTGGCATGTGATGGACACTGATGTATAGCCAATCAATTCTAAGGGGGTAACAGTCACATTTTCATTACAAAGCAAAGGAGGATAAAGTGTATTTAATAACTTTCCTAGAGCCACACTGCTTCAGTGTTTTTAAACTCTTTGAGGCTAAAATCCAGGTTCCTTCATGCCCATCTGTCCACTGGTCCTGGCTCTGCTTTCTTTGCACACAGCATTTACTTGCTATGGAGTGGAGGTGGGATTAAAGTCTGTTAAAGTCTTTTTCCAATCAAGAGTCTGCTTTTATGAGAGAAACTCTGGGTTTCATTTAGGATAAGAGGTTTCAAACCCATATAACATATAACTTCTAAGCACAAGCCTTTAAATTCACAGTGTGTAAACCTCCTCTCCTAACAGATAAAATATTTTAAGGTATAAGAGGATTGTCCTTGATTTGGAAATGCACAACTCGAGCTTGAAAGGGTTAAGCGCCCTGTTCAAGACATGGAGCTAGAAAGCATCATGGCCCAAATTCCTCACAGAGCAGTAACCAGATCTTATGCACACAGTAACTATTCATCTGAAGGATTCAATTAACTCATGTCCCTATGCCTTTGTTCATAACCTTAAGATCATTTCCCAACATCTCCAGCTTCTTGGATCTCTCAGATGTAGAAACTCGAATTCTCTGGAATGAGAATAAAATGGCAGCAACAAGTTCTTACATACTGAAACTCCCATTTATAAAACCTCAGAGGTTCTCTCTCAAAACTCCTTTCATCCTTTGTATCACTGAGTACTGTAGGAATCTTTCTCCTAAAAACTTGTCACAAATATGCTGTTGTTGCTAGTTTTTCCAACTCAGTATTTGAACAGGATATGTGAAAATGATCTGACTTAGGTCACAGGAAGGGGATATGGAATTTCGATCCAATTAGACTCCAATTTGCATCCTAGTTCTCGTACTATTACTCCCTGTCTTGGAAAAGTTGCTGATTTCTTGAGCTTTGTTCCTTACCTGTAATACCAAAATGACAAATACATCTTCACGTTGGTTTTTTGAGCTTTAAAGAGCTAAAGATTGAAGGCATAATACAATGCTACACAAAGGAAGAGCTTCCTAAATAATCATTGTTATTACTGCTACAACAATTTAGTTTATGATGCTTCCATTTAGAATACTGAAAATCAGAATTATAATAATAAAAAGAAAGCATGTTAGATATAGGAATTAGAATTAGTCCAAGATTTCTTCCCAAAACATGGGCAAATAACTTTTATTGTTAACCCTGAGTTGTCTTTCTTAGAGCATTTTGAGAATTTCCTTGAATTGGGAGAGAATGGGGGCGGAGGGAGAGAGAAAGATAATTAGAATGGAAAACTTCAATGAGAGCTCTCTGAACATCCATAGCTGTATCCCAATCTGTAGTCTGAACTCCGAAATATCAGCCTGGAGTTGTCCAGAAGAGTGGCCAGGTGGAGTGAAGTACAGTGATTTCATTTGTTGGGTAATGGTTTGCTGTGCAAAACTTTGCACATGATAAATGGGCCATTAATTAGGGGAGTTTCCCCCAGAGCAGGGGCCATGTTAAGAACCAAAACACAAATATGTGAGTACGGGGGAGAACCAGGTTCATGTGGGCATCAGAGGGAAGTTCCTTGCAACTTCAGACCATTGCAAGTGCTGCTGTCTTGTTTGGAATATTCTTCCGCATTTAGTCCCACGTTGGGGAGCATCTGTCACCTCATGTTACACCTTCAATCATTTTGGCATAAGTAACCTTCTCCTGTGAGCTCTTATGGGCTCAGGATATGTTTCTTCATAGTTCCAAGCCCTTCTGAAATGTCCTAGTCCTTCTAATTGTTCGCACGAGTACCTCTTTCTCACAAATAGCCAGCTTCTCGCAGACAGCTACTGTTCCTGGATCTCACCCATGCAGTCTCAGTGCTAGCAACAAAGGGAACTCAATAAGTGGCCTCCAGTGAATGCAGAGGACGAAGCCCTGTACTCAGAAGGACTCTCCAGGTTGGGTTACTTAAGCTCTCCTATCCCCAAGCCTCAGGTGTGGAAGCCTTTTCTGGATCCTCTGATTTGGCACAGTGCTGACGACCACCCCAGCTGACTTTTTTCTCTGTTCAATTTGCTCCCTGCTGTGTGGTTTATGCTAGGTTGTATAGCAAGTTCTGGACATAGAGTTGGAGTTCAATGTATAGAAATTTTCATTAATAGATTATGTGCCTCAGTTTACATCAGCAATTTCTTCTGTGAAAGGAAGAAAATCATATATGAGAATATACAATCATATAGGTTTGGCACAATAAACTAAATGTCCAGCCTTATGCTGAACAGTGCACCAACTTTTCTGCAATTTGGACTGGACACTGCCTCTTTCCCTTCTTGAACATTACAAGTTATGACTCGCAACATAATATAATTCTATAAATTAAAATATAATTAAAATATTTTTAAACAAGACAGCTTTTAGGCTAACTCTACTCTGGATCTTATAGAATGGCCTTAATTCATTTGTGAATGATAAAAGATAAAAACTCTGAAGAAATCACATTTTACAAAACAAGCACAGCAATCATTCTTATTTCTAATTTGTTCTTAGGTATTGCTCTCTACACTTGATTTATTATAGCAAACTCATGGGATGGAAGTGTTACTCTGCCAAATTTCTTCAGTGGAATTGTTTGTATAAGGTCATAGGTTTAGCAAGAAGAGCACACAAAGAACTCAGACATCTGAGCTCACTGCTGAGTTTCCCCTACGAATATGCGACATTTCTCTCTACAACAAAAGAATTCCAAAGAAAACCAGTTGCCAAAGGCACCTGGTCTCCAAGCACTGTGAATATCCAATTTTTATCTTTTATTTCAGAATAGCCTCAAAATTTCAAAACAAAAGTTGTGAAGTTGCACAACGAGTTCTCATGTACGCCCCACACGGCTTCCACTATCGTTAACATATAATAGAGAAGATTTGTCACAGTCAATAATCCACTCTTGGTTTTGCCTGTTATTAACATCTCATATTAGTATGATATACTGTCACAATTAATGAATAAAACCCAGCTGTCCCCTAAGCCTTCCACCACCCCCAGCCTCTAGTAATCAGCATTTTACTACTGTGCCTTTACAGGAAACAGAATGTTAACAACTTTGTCTCCTCACAGATGGAGAAATCCCTGGAATTGGCCAACATGACCAGAGTCCAGCAGTTTGTCTTGCTGGGTTTGTCCAGTAGCCTGGGCATAAGGGACGCCCTGTTTGCCGTCTTCCTGACTCTGTACGTGCTGACCATCATGGAGAACACACTCATCATCTACCTCATCTGCAGCCACAGAGAGCTCCACAAGCCCATGTACTTCTTCCTGGGCAACCTCAGCTGCCTGGAGATGTGCTACGTGTCGGTGACCATGCCCAGCCTGCTGGCGGGGCTGTGGAATGGCATCTATCACATTTTCTTTGTGGCCTGCATGACACAGCTCTTCTTCTTCATAATCCTTGTTGGCACAGAATGCATTCTCCTGGCCTCCATGGCCTATGACCGCTATGTGGCCATCTGCCACCCACTGCACTACCCACTGCTCATGCGGCCCCAGGTCTGCCTGGGCTTGGCCATGACTTCGTGGCTGGGTGGGCTTGTAGTATCTCTGGCCAAGACCACATGCATTGCCACCCTGTCCTACTGTGGCCCCAATGTCATCAACCACTTTTTCTGTGATGTGGCCCCTCTGTTGGATCTGTCTTGCACTCATGTGGCCCTCACTGAGCTGGTGGACTTTGTTTCTGCCATCGTCATCCTCTGGGGTTGCCTTATTCTGACTATGACCTCTTATGTGGCTATCGGTAGGGCCGTGCTCCGCATGCCATCAGCTGCTGCCCGCTACAAGGCCTTCTCCACCTGTGCCTCCCACCTGGTGGTGGTGGGCATCTTCTATTCAGTCACAATCTTCATCTATGCCCGTCCCAGCCACATGGAGGCCATGGACCTCAACAAGGTGCTCTCAGTCATCTACACGGTGGTCACACCCATGTGCAACCCTGTCATCTACTGTCTGCGCAACAAGGAGGTCCAGGCAGCTTTCCATAAAACCCTGCACTGGTCCTGAGGTTGACCAGCTGACCAGCATCAGGAGAGCTTTCAAGTTATCAATATCCTACTTTTTTTATTGAAATATAATTCACAAGTTATAAATTTCATCTTTTCAACATGCACAATTTAATGGCTTTTTGAGTATATTCACAAGGTTGTGCAAACAACATCACTGTCTAATTCCAGAACATTTTCATTATCTCTACCACCCATAGCCCTAAGAAACCTCCCACCTACTTTCTATGAAGGCTGAAGTTAAAATGGTATCTGCTATGTCAAAGTGTATGAGCATTTAACTATGATCAATATTGGTTAACTGCTTTGCATATAATACGCCTCAATGTACATTTCCATACAAAGAGTGTGCTTCCTCCACGTCTTACAACATTGCATCTTCTCAAATGATTTCTTTTTCATTTTGATATGTATGAATTTTACTTTGATTTTCATTTCTTTACAAGAAGGTAGAGGTGAGTATCGCCTAAGCTTGTGGGTCATGTTGGTTACCTTTATTTGAATGAACTACTAGGTTGTCTTTGTGCAAATAGTTTTGAATAGGTATTTTTGTTACTCAATATCTTGACCATATCATAATCTTTTTGTACCATGATAAATTTATAAAGTGCAATTAATGAATGCAAGGGCATTCAGATTCTCAAGGATTTTTTTATTTATTAACAAATCACCCTTCTAAAATGTGCCCATTTATTCTCTCTCTCTGGAAAAAAAAAAAGAACATGCTCATTTCCCTTGAGGTACCATTGACATAATTTTAATAAAAGTTAAAAATATTTCAGTCTGAGCAAGTCATTCCATTGAAGGTAACTCCATTAATTTGCTTTCTTTTATGTTTATTTATTTCATTATACAAGAGTATTTTTTTAACCATTAATTCACATAATACAACACATTAAGGACAGAGCTGCATGGGGAGTAAGTGCACAGTGACTCCTATTGTTGATTACAGTATCTTAAAAGTTAATGGAAATGTAATTAAAAGATGAGTTAGCTTTAGTGAACATTTTCTTGAAATATATTCATATTAAGAGTCTTCAAAAAATTCATGGAAATGAACATTATAAAAAAAAGCACATGTTTCAATTTTTTTACTAAGTTAATTAATTAATTGCATTTTCCATGACACTTTTTAAGCACCCTAGTAAAGGTGACACAATTATAATACGAAATATTCAATATTTAAAGTAGAGTGTGAGCCCCTGTGACTCCATACCCAAAAATTCCTGCTGATAATAGTTGATATACCCACTCTCAGATTCTTTTCTGGGTGCATATTAACAGAATAACATTTTAATAATTATTATTTCATCACAAGTTTACAAAATGTTAACATACTCATATAATTGCTTATTTTATTTTTAACCCAACAACCTGGCTAGGACATCTCTCATGTCAGTAACCACAGGTCTAATCTAACCTCTTTCATGGAGGCATATTATTGCCCAGTATGTATGTAACATTTAAATAGTCTCCTGTTTGTGGCCACTTGAATTATTTCCAATAATTTCCCCAAAACATTGCCTATTCCAAATTTCCCAATTTTGCAACAAGTATTCTGTATATATAAGTTATGCACCATATAATTATATACATACACATACATGAATACAATAGTTTTATTGTGTAACGAATAGACTGCTGTTTTCCATTTTTAATTTCCTGGATTAACAGATGTTGCCAATCCTTTTATAGCTGATCAACCAGTTATATTTCCTTGGCAATAGCCTTTCTGGTCATGACCATTTTCATTTTGGAATATTTCCATTTTTTAAAAGCCGTGTTCCTCCAGTTTCTTTTTTTTATTTTTTTTTAAAGATTTATTTATTTATTTGAAAGTCAGAGTTACACAGAGAGAGAAGGAGAGGCAGAGAGAGAGAGAGATCTTCCATCCGCTGGTTCACTCCCCAGTTGGCCACAATGGCCGGAGCTGCGCCGATCCAAAGCCAGGACCCAGGAGCCTCCTCTGGGTCTCCCACGTGGGTGCAGGGGCACAAGGACTTGGGCCAGCCTCCACTGCTTTCCCAGGCCATGGCAGAGGGCTGGGTTGGAAGTGGAGCAACCGGGACCTGATCCAGCACCCATATGGGAGGCCAGCACTGCAGGGGGTGGCTTCACCTGCTACACCACAGCGTCGGCCCCCCTCCAGTTTCCTATTTGCCTTTAAAACTTAGGTGTGTGTCTCAGGTGATGAAAATTTTCGAACCAGGAGTGAGAGGGAGTCAGTTCTCAGCAGAGCTCAGCGAGGGTGGAGGGTCTTCTGCAGCACTGCCTGGACTTCCCTGTTGCGCAGGCAGTAGACGATGGGGCTGCACATGGGCGTGGCCACTGTGTAGATGACTGACAGCATCTTGTTGAGGTCTGTGGATGCCATGTGTCTGGGGCGGGAATACATGAAGAGGACCACTGAATAGAAGACGCCCATCACGACGAGATGGGAGGCACAGGTGGAGAAGGCTTTGCAGTGGGCAGTGGCTGATGGCATGTGGAGCACGGCCCTTCCTATGGCCACATAGGAGGCCAGAGCAACGAGTAATGGCCCCCAGAAGATGACGATGGCGGAGACAAAGTCCACCAGATCTGTGAGGGCCACAGGGTTACAGGACAGGTTGAGAAGAGGAGAGACATCACAGAAGAAGTGATTGAGGATATTGGGTCCACAGTAAGACAGGCTGGCAATGCATGTGGTCTTGACCACTGAGACCACCAGTCCACCAAGCCAAGAAGTCATGGCCAAGCTGAGGCAGACCTTGGGCCGCATGAGCAGTGGGTAGTGCAGAGGGTGGCAAATGGCCACGTAGCGGTCATAGGCCATGGAGGCCAGGAGGGTACACTTGGTACCAATGAGAGAGATGAAGCAGAAGAGTTGAGTCATGCAGGCTGTGAAGGGCACATGGCAGGGTCCAGTCCACAGCCCCGCCAGCAGGCTGGGCATGGTCACCGACACGTAGCACATCTCCAGGCAGCTGAGGTTGCCCAGGAAGAAGTACATGGGCTTGTGGAGCTCACTGTGGCTGCAGATGAGGTAGATGATGAGCATGTTCTCCAGGAGGGTCAGCAGGTAGAGAGTCAGGAAGACAGGGAACAGGCCACCCCTTCCACCTTGTCTGGCAGACAAACCCAGGAGGATAAAATCAGGACCACTGGACATGTTGGCCAATTCCAGAGACTTCTCCATCTACGAGAAGAAAAAAAGAGGTTTGTAAAGACCCTGGTCCTGGAGCTGGCACTGTGACGTAGTGGGTAAAGCCACCACCTGCAGTGCCAGCATCCTATATAGGCACTGGTTCGAGACCCTGCTGCTCCACTTCCAACCCAGTTCTCTGCTATGGCCTGGGAAAGCAGTAGAAGATGGCCCAAGTCCTTAGGCCCCTGCACCCACGTGGGAGACCCGGAAGAAGCTCCTGGGTCCTGGCTTCGGATCAACTGGGGAGTGAACCAGTGGATTGAAGACCTTTCTCTCTCTGCCTCTCTTTTCTCTCTGTGTAACTCTGACTTTCAAATAAATAAATAAATCTAAAAAGAAAAAAAAAGACCCTGGTCCATGCAGAAGTGCAAAGATTAAGTTGGGTGGACTGCATGTGGTTGGGTTCCCATGGAGATGACATAAATTTGCTGTTGGTTAACTATTTTAAGGAGGGATAATGAGAAGCAATTGAGAAAATTGCAAATCTGGAAGCAGATAACTTACACGTTTATTCCCCAAGTTTAGAATCTTAGGCAAGACATTCAAACTTTGGTATCCTTATCTGTGAAGTAGAGGAGAAATATATCCCAGTAAAGTCTTTAATCCTTATGACTACTAAACACAGTAATCGTGAGAAGATACTTCTTAATGTAAGGAATATTTGTTATTTCCTCACTTTTGTGTGGAAATGAAATTTTGATCTTTCTAGGTTGATTATTTTTGTTTTTCTCAAAATTCTCCAGGACTCAAGGAGTTTTCTGTACTATTTTTAAAGATTCATTTATTTACTTGAAAGCGAGGAAGAGGGGGTGGGGCGGGGAGGAGAGAGACAGACAGACATCTTCCATCTACTGATTCACTCCCCAGATGTCCACGACAGTCAGGGCTAGGCCTGGTCAAAGCTGAGAGCCAGGAACTCCAGCCAGATCTTTCTTCTTTACTCTGAGGCATGCTTCTCTTAATTGTGTGAATTTTTTGGAAGAAATTTGCAACTGTTTATGAGGAAAAAGTTCCAGCTACAATAGTTTTTCTAAAAAGACCAAAGAGGGTCGGCGCTGTGGCTCACTAGGCTAATCCTCCACCTGTGGCTCCAGTACTCTGGGTTCTGGTCCCAGTTGCTCCTCTTCCAGTCCAGCTCTCTGCTGTGGCCCAGGAAGGCAGTGGAGGATGGCCCAAGTGCTTGGGCCCTGCACCCGCATGGGAGACCAGGAGAGGTACCTGGCTCCTGGCTTTGGATTGTCGCAGTGCACCAGCCGTGGCGGCCATTTGGGGGGTGAACCAAAGGAAGGAAGACCTTTCTCTCTCTCTCTCTCACTGTCTAACTCTGTCTGTCAAAAAAAAAAAAAAAAAAAAACACACCAAAGAGGAATTTCCTCCCTGAATCTTTCTAAAAACAACTCCCTTAAGAAAGATAACATATAAGGATACTTCAAAAAGTTCATGGAAATATGTATTATGAAAAAATATGCATGTACTTAAACATTTTTACTTTTATAGTTTTTTTCCAAAAACAAAAGAAACTGAACATGTTGAGCATCAGTTGTGTGCCTTGGGGCGGGTTCTCTAAACATACAGAAATCTTCTTTTTCACGACCTTAGAACCAAATCAGCATCCTTTTCTCCCTTCATACACATGACTAGACTGAAGTTCACAGGCAACAGGTAACTTATTCAAATGGCTGGGTGGTACCACTAGGGTCTTTACCTCTGCCTTAACACTGGGGGTTCACCTTGACTTTGGGTGACTGACATGAGGATTAGACCGGTTCCCTTAGCATATGTAATCAATAGTAGAGAGCTAGTCAATATATATATCACTTAGCATATGTAATCAATAGTAGAGAGCTAGTCAATATATATATCAATCAGGTACCAGGTGCCTGAAACAAAGCAATGAACAGAACCAACACTGATGACTCTTACATAATGAGGGATAGAGAAGACAAAAGAATAAATATAATGGTAAGGAAATTTCAGTCGCAGACTTAGAACAGGACTAGTCGGGGCTGGGAAGGATTGTGGGAAACAGAATAGAGGGGGTTTGGATAACTTGTACTGAAGCAAAGGTAGATAAATGTAATAGGTTCCAGTGTTCGCAGCAGAGCAGGTGACCACAGTCCACAGCAGTGTGGTACCTAATGGGCTCCGAACGTGAAGAAGAGATACGGGAACAAGCATGACCACTGTCGGACTTCATCTGTGTGCGCTGTATGCATGTGTTTGAAATGTGGCCTGTGCCCATGAAAATGTACAAGTACTACATGTTAATAAAAGATGAAAATAAAATTATTTCCATAATCTAGAACTCTCCCCCAAAACCCCAAATTTGTCTAAAATATTATGTCAGATACCATTTCTAGCAACACTATGAAAGTGTCTTTTTAAGACTATCCCCATCAACTCTGGTGAGTACAAACTTTCCATCTGTTGCCAGTCTGATGGGCAAAAATGTTCATAGAAACTTTATTTATGACATAACTCGTACCCTAGAACAGCTGAGAAGAGAATGAACTTTGCACTAAACGGTCTTTGGGTAGTCTTCATGGAAAAACAAAACAGAAAGGAGCTCCTGAGTTTCAGTCATAATGTACAAGAAGGGGAAATGCTGACTTCCTTAATATGATTGCTACACATGGTATACATCTATTGAAATGTTGTCCTATAGCCCACAAATATATACATACAACTATTTTAATAAAAAATCAATAAAAGCTTTTGTAGTAAAGTTATTCTTTAAAAGAAAATTGAAAACCTGTATCATACCACATACTCAAAGAATCTATTTCAGGTGAACTAGAATTGTAAGCATGACGGTTAAACCTATAGAATTTCAGAAAACAGTGTGGAAGTGTATTCCCGTACCTTAACTGTTTTGAAAACAAAAACCCTAAAGTAGAAGAATTTTAACCTTGTTCATTTTAAAATGTAAAAATTAAAATTATTAAAATAAATTCTGATATCCACAAGTCATAAAAGTCATAAACTAAAAAATATGTTTCCAATAAATATAATAGTAATTCAAAAAGCTTATGGAAAATATAATTAAAAGATAAATTTGGTGCAAAAATAAAATAAAATCCATGCATGCAAGTTATTTGCAAAAATTCATGCAAATGCATAAAATGAAAAAAGTGTATTTCAAAAATTTGTACCAAAATTAATTTATCTTTTAAATTCATTTTCCACCAACTTTTCAGAGTACCCTCATATAAATGACAAGGGTTCACCATATATAATACATTAATAAATTTTTCAATGTACAAGATAGTTTTTTTAGTAAAAAAATGGACAAAAGACCTAGGTATACTCCCCACCAAATAGTAATTAAAGACACAACACATAGAAATACACTCATCTCATTAGGAACCAAGGAAAGGGAAAATAGAGCCAACGTGAGATACCGTTTCATACCCACAGAATTGGTACAAATGTAAGCATCTGAAAATATTTAGCTTGACTATGAGAGATTTTATAAACTGCTTCTCGGAGTCTAAATTGGTATAACATCAGAAATAAATTCAGAAAATTTAAACAAATTTAAATAAATAAATAAAATCAGAAGTAAATTTTAAGAATGTGATATGTCTCAAAAATTCTGTCACAGCATGTGCCCAGAATCAAGTTTATAGCAGCACTATTTTGCTAGCATAAAAGAAAACAAAATCTGTAAATAAACATCCAAGCTACCAATAATGCAATTGTTAAGTAAACTGCGATCCCTTAAATAATGGAGTAGTATTCTGTAAACACATGAATGAATTGCATCTAACATCACCGATTATTCAGCTTCAGAAATATAATCTTGAACAAAAAGAAAGTTACAAAATATGTAAACAATATTATTAACTTTATATAAAAGACAAAGTATGCAAAAGTCCTTTAAAACATATTATTAGGAAATACAAGAGCCCATGTTAAAAGAGATAAGGAGAATGATGATGGACTGAAACTTGGGACAGAATTATTTCTTAGGGTGGAGGAGCTGAGTGGGATAGGCATACAGAAAGCTTCTCCTATAAGTAGCGATGTTCTTTATATACTATACCTGTGTTTCACATTTCCATTGATATTTATATAATATAAAAGTCATTTTAAAAAGTAGCTTCTACAAGTTTTAAGATTCATATGTACACCAGAAACATTTGTGACTAGCATCTTGCTAGCTGGGTGACCACAAGCAAGACTCTTAAACTCCCAAGGCCTAAATTCCCTACTACTTAAAATGACAACATCAGGAATAAGAAGACAGTATGCAGTTACAGCTTTGATCTGTTGCCTGGCTCCTGGGTACTGATCAATTTACTTGAGGTAGAGTATAGCACATTCCAGCATTTTTGCCATAGACCATCAATAGAGACATACTTTACATTGTGGTGAGCCACAGAGACACAGCTATACAATCACCACATTTACAAACAACGCAGAAGTTTAGCATAGCAATGCTTACCCGTACTTTATGTGAATCCCTTTGATACTTCCTTTTGTTTTCTATCCTGTGTCATTTTAAGGGTTAGTATTGACCAATAGGTTGACTTCACGAATCTCAGTTTGAAATAGACTGCCATCAGCTTACCATCAGAGCCTTGAAATGAGGCTGAACTGATTCTAGCCCAGGATTTTTCTACAATCTAGGGAAGTTCTCTGGTCTTTTGGCTGACCTTCATCTCCTGTGTGGATATTCATGGGGGTCATCTGGGGATTAATTAGTCTCTATGGCACTGGCAGTGTCCAGCATCCCAAGGTGTCCTAGGGGATGTAGGATTTGTCTTCCTTTCTTCTTCCCCAGATAAAGTGTTTGTAGCTTCTTACCTCTAAGCTAAAGTGAAATGAGTGATTTTCCTCCCTGAAAGGGACTCTGGGAACAAAAATACTTACTTTCTGCCCATGGAAACAGGTAAAGGTGCTGGTGACTTGAAGAACTGGGTAATGCATTCACGGACCTCCAACCAGCTCATAAGTTGAGAGAAGTTGGTCCTGAGGATTGATTTATC